TTTAGGCATGTTGTTCAAACAAGTGAAAAGCAGTGGCAAATACTTTATACCCAACTTAATTTTCATTTATTTAAGTTTATATCATTATTATAATAAAGATAGTATCACTCACTATAACACCAGATATCCTTCTCCAAATCATGTTTTAAAGGACACCCTGTTTCAGTTTTTAAAAACTAAAAATATTCATGTACTTGTTCAATTTTTGTTCTTACACATTCAACTACGTCCTTCATATTTGGCATTTTGATTTATTAGGCAATCTTAGCATTAAAGACTTTTAGCAAAGCAGTGCTAGATTTCAAATGCACTGTGCATGGTATCTATGATGAATTAATTCCAGCAGGGCAATAAAGTTATCATTATTTAAATGCGAGTTTCTTTCAGAAGTTTTACATCTTAGTCAAGCTTTCAAAATCAGTATTTAGCTCATATTTCGAGGTGAATCTATGTGATTTCTTGTTATATATGTATATTTTCCCCGTGCTTAACACTTCCTTGTGTGAATCTGCATAAAAATATTTAGTAATATTTAATATTGATAGCTTAAAATGATGGATAATTAGTTAAGAATATATGATTACTCTTTAATCTATGGTTCATTCTGTGAAATGCCATATTCAGAATATTTAGGATTTAATGCATTTATTTGGTTAAATAAATTATACACTGAAAGAAACCAGAGAGTGGACATAAAATGTCTTTTATTGTCACTGTAAATAATTTTGTTTAAGAAAAGTTCATAGAAATAAATGGTTATTTTTTTCTTATAGGCACTGTTGTTTATTCTTAGTTTTTTAGGAAGTCATTTTTTTTTCACCCATTTGTTTTGATTAAATGATAAGATGCCAAAAAAAAAAAACAGGTTGAATAATGAGGCACCATGATTATAAGATGGAGTATCTGTGTATGTGAACAGACAAGTGTGTAGGAAGTAGAGGTTATTTGTCCTTTCTTACCATCCTTGACATGTACAGTTAGATCTGCCTATTACCTATCTATCCATATCCACTCATACATACATATACATATACATACACACAAAAGGTCGTGAAAGAGAAGGGGCGAGACGTAGGGCAGATGAGAGAAAGGGAGAGGAAAGATGATAGAGAAGATCAGAGGAAAAAGGTTGAGTGAGCAACAAGGACCAATAGTGTCCCTGGTGGTGGTTGAGATAATACAGCTAACTGTACTTGCCCAGGTCAAGTTTCAAACTTCTCAACATTTTAGTGAATATGAAATAGGATACAAGCAGGTTTCTGTTATCGCTCTGGCAAATGTCTATCTCACATGTTTATACCAGTGAAACCTATAACTCTAAGAAGTAAAAATAAAACCAAGTCTAGCATTCAGTACTACCCTATCATAAAGTAAGGAGGTCTAATTGAGCTATGTCTTTATATCCTGCTATTTGTACAAATAAAAGACTACATCTTGATGCAAAATAAACACAAAAGCACTGTTGTGACTATAACAGGGAGTCATATACTAATTTATATAATAAGTGGTTGTGCACGCTTTATTCAAGATTATGGCTGCAAGAAATGGCATGAATTGCTGGGTGTGTTTAATGCTGGATTATAGCAATTTGAAACATGTCAAACACATGGCTAATGCCTCATGCTTCACTCATTCTTGCGTAAACCTGCATAGCCACCATCCATTATACCCTTGGTAACAACACAATTCTGCAAGTAAATATTGTTACACTAAGTAACCTTTCAATTCAAGTTGTTTAGGAAGAGAAAATGCAATCTTGTGCAGTCAGTTCCAGTGTCAGTTTAATGTTTCAAAAGGGAAGTGGTGTAGAGAATAAGTATCTGTACAGTGACTTGCTTAAAAAAATAAAAGAAGAAAAGGGAAAGAAAGGGAAACTTAATGCAGGGGAGAAAAGTAGAACTGTATCATTTGAGTGCAAGGTTGGAAGAGTTATTTTCTGATGTGGCGAAAAGTTGTGCATGATGAAAGATTTAAAGATTTAACTACCAGTTCAGACAAACATTAAAACAGCAGCTACCAACTTCACCTTTCCCTTTAATGATCTGAAAATTATTTTCACTGATTTTTGTAAAATGTTTGTGGTAGGATTGAGAAGAATGAATAATTTAGTTTGGTATGTTTGGGATCACAAGCATATTCATTTTGAAAGAATACATTGAATTTGTAATTATTTAAAATATACTTTAAAAGGTAAACATCACCTCACCATTGTGCTGGAAATATTTCCTCTAGTGGAAAATAGGTGTAGAGATATCACTAGGAGAAATTTAGTAAATATTGGAAAGCATCTTCATTTTCCTTAAAGATACTTCTTTATAATGGGCATGCCCTAAACCTTCTTCTTTTGGTTAAATTACATAATATTCATCTAAGTGCACACTCTTCTTTTTGCATATTAATTTTGGGTTAGCTTCTGTTTTGTAGAGAAAAAACTACTATTGCTGTTATTGTTTTGCTTAAGCATGATTTTACTAACACTTAGAGGATTGAACTTAAAATG